AGAGCTGGGAGAGGTCTCATTTTAATCAGAAATTTTGGGACTACAATCATGCATCATTAAGAAAGGTTTTGGTTATTTTTTAGAGTTTCTGAAAAACTGGTTTTCCAGAAAACCACTCTCTGAAGGCCTAGCAGCACGTCTCATGTTGATATTCGGAATCAGCACGGTCGACTACCTATAGTCCACTAGGTTTCGGCTTGAAAGCGATCGGACAGTTGGGGACCTTCCCTCGTAAGGTGAATGATCAAGTGTTCGGGCCACTACGCTTATATCTTCAACATACAAGAGAATATATAATCGAAGAGTCCATTTTTCTTGCTCAATGAAAATAGACTTCATTTTGTCGAAGGAGACCGTAGTTTCTGTGTGTTAATGTATCGTGAGACGTTTAACTAGGAGAGTCAAGGTTAGAGCATCGTTTTACGTATAAGTAAAAAAAATATGATTAGCAAACGTTTTCTTTAAACCGTTGAACTCTTTATCTATATAATTTCTTATATTTCTTCAAGATGTTCTATTCTGTATATTAAATTAGCTCGCTATCCGAAAATCAATTATTTTACTCCTTGAGAGCCTGTATAAATATTAAATATTCTCAAATGATCGGTCTTCTTTCTTCTATATCTTGTTTATATTTATTAATACTATCATAACACACATATATCAATTACATAATAAGAGAGACAACGATATTTCAACTATACACGTGTGTATGTTTATAAATGAACTGTTGTTGTACAATCGAAAACCTCGACAATGAATATATTTAATATTTTATTCTTCTAAGAAATGTTCTCTCTCTCTCTCTCTCTTTCTCTTTCTCTTTCTCTTTCAACATTATGATATACCTATCATGCATTCACCAAACAGTTGTTTGAAAATAGAGTTCAACACATGTAGAAATCATATTGGTTTCTACTCATGAAGACAGTAGTTAAGATTTAGTATCTAGTTCATTGTTCAAATTTCCTTCGATCAATTATCACATAGTAATAAAACAGTCATTTTATCCAGTTATCTGGCAACGTGATGATAGTTCGTTCATACAACGATCGTTCGTTGACCTTTTTGTGAAACAAATTTGATATAATCGTTTGGTTATAATTGTTCGTTTGTGTCTAGTCATCTGCTATGTAATTAATTAGTTTCTATAACATAAGCGAACCGAACCTTTTTTTCTTTTCTTGTCACTTGTTATCTCAATGAAAGATGGTACTAACTAACCATGAAGCAAAAATAATTGATAAAATAGTAGACAATAAACATTCAGAACCTAGTTATACATTAATATGCTTATCATTTTTTTTTTGAAAAAAAGAAACCATTTCAGCTGGTGTTCAATCTCACACTTACTCAACGACAATCAACCGATAAACGTATCTACTGCGAGCATTCATTTTCAAAAACAGATGGCAGTTAACCTATAATGTGATAAGATAATGCTAAATAAATCATTATTCCATGAAATTTAAGACACAAATCTGAAAATTTTGGGCTCTGATAATCTGACAACTGCAGTCCATTGTCCAATACTATACATCATTTCGTTGAATTAAGATCAAAAACAAGAAAAGATGATGTAAGAGATTTCTCTATATAAATCTACGTTTTAATCTCGATTCGTCTGTAAATGCTCACTTTCACTTTTGATGTCGCCTTTGATATTGACTAATCCTACAAAGCCGATTAAAGAAAAATCGAGAGAATACCAAATCTATTGACTATAAACCACTTTCTTGTATTATATGAGTTTTCAAGTACCGTCAAGTCTCTAAGCTCTATAAGGTCAAAGGTCATTTGTACTGTTGTCTGTCAGCTGTACTAATCGGTCCCTGGATAATAAAAACTTGAAAATGTGCAACCTACAAAATTCTTTTTTTTCCTCTCTTTTCTTTTCGATTAATCAGCTGCTTCTTGAAACATTTGTTCAATGACAAGAGGTACTCATGTATTTCGTGTATAGGAAAGCGAACAAAAACAGAACATTGCTGTTTTCTTTTTATAAAATTCTAACAAGGTTATGAATTCAAAAGTTTTGCCGCATGTTTTTTGAAGCATTTCTTCCTTTTATGAAAAAAAAATAAATTTCTGATCACTAATATTTATTTTTCATTCTCACATTACAAAAAACACGAAAAGACTTGTGTTCGTTCACTCGACAAGGATTAGCAAGGATGCATATCAGTTTTCTGAGGGATGCAAGTTTTCACACATATCAAGGTCATATTTTTCTTCTTCGTTTATTCATGCCTTTAGAAAATATTTGTTTGTGAAGACAAAATATATCGATGATGATAAGACACAACAAAAAACATAGATGGTATTCCAAAAGACTTCTTTTCTTTCAACATCAGATAATAATAATAATAATAATAACAACAGTAATAGAAAAAATTAGATGTAGAAAAACTTGTTTGTATATAATAAATAACAAGAAACTGTGTCATTTTAAACTCAAAATAGTCCACATTTCTATGAAAACTTACACTGTTAATGGAAAAATATATTTCTATAGACAATCTATCTAATCACCATCTTTTCATCTCCTTGCCATAAATTTTAGCTAAAATATGTATTTGTTTGAAATTTTCACATCCACATAGTTTACTTTGTTGTTCTATTAAAAATTCTCCAAAGGTCACTAGGCAACAATTCTAACATCAAATTTATTTACTATTGAAGAAAATTAACATTTTAACTTTTCAGACATATATCATCTATGATAGAAAAGTCTTAAAACTAGTATACAGTTAATTGTAAACACACGTAAATGTCATCATAAACTATGAGAATTTTTTGTTTTGTCTTGTTTTAATTAAAACTCTAGATATATCAAATAGTCTCAACTTATTATAGTGTTTTCTCTTTTCTTTTTCTTCTTATTCTGTTTTTTATTGACCATAAATGATTGATTATTGAAAGTGATGTGCTAAAAATTATGTTGACAAGATATTAGTATGTAATACAGAATGATATTGATAATCTATCAAAATTTAACACAGATTCATGTATCTGAAGAGGAAGAAGAAATGATAAATAACCTTCAAGAAACGAATGATGATCCACTCTTCTCTTAGCTTTAATCTTTTGACATGTTGAAGAAAATATATACCAGTAGTAGGTTATTTTAGTTAATTGCCACTTTTAACGAGATATAAATATTTATGAACAAATGATTCACATATTTTCGGCTAATTATGTATATTATTCATCAGATATATTTTACGTGAACATGAACACGTAGATGAAATAATATTTAAGTGGATTTTAGACAAAGTAGATTAACATCCTAAGCACGCATACCAAATGGGTACATATCGCTCTTCTAACATATTTAATCGAATATTCAACTCTGTTGGCAAAATAAATGAAGATAAAGGGTAACATCTATTAAGAATACATAAATGTAGATGAAATGAACAAAACGTAATGAGAAATGGTCATTTGAACTGGTGGACACGATTATATCCTCAAAATGACAACGTGCATCTATGTTTTGCAATTAATTATTTTCTATTGTCTAAAAATGAACTAATTCTATTACTCTAGTAATAAGCACCCTATATTTCTTTCATGATTTTTGTTTAAATTTTCAAAACTCACCGATAAATTCTTAACAACAGTTTTTAGATTTCTGAAATTGCGGAATTCACGTCTACTCTCTTATCCTATACCGTTCATATTCGAAACCATTTTACTAATTTTTGACATTATTCTCATACTGATTCTGTTGATTCATAGTAAAAACGTTTGCATTATATCAAAGAATGATATAGCCTCAAAGAGAAAAGATTAAATTTTAGAAAATAAACAATTACATACTTTTTATACATTTTCCAATTTGTTCCATCGATCTTTTATTAATATTATTATTCACATTATTATTAATATTAATACTTTCACAATCAAGTCCATTATCACAGATACCATGTATATTTAATTTTCCTCCACATGTTTCATTAATATTTCTTAAACAAACTGTACAACAATTACATTGATCACGAATTAATTTTGTACAATTTTTATTATATCGAATATTTTCTAGACAATACTCTAAATCACATTCTGTACAATCATTGACACTTTCATCACTAATAACTGGTATAACAATTAATTCATTTTGTGAATGAATTACTTTTTCTTTATTACTTGCTAAAATTGTTTTTTCTGTTAATATTGATTCAATTAATTCTTGTTGTTGATCATTTTTATCGATATCATACGATAATGTTGACGATGGCCTCATTGTCTGTAGTAATGAGGAAGAAGTCGAATTATTAATCGTACTGTTAAATTCTTCAGATGTTGCTGATATCAGTTCCTCATTTTGTGCTGTTGTTTCTTTATTATACTTTTTTTCTGTATTAAATAATGATTGTTGTTCATTGCTTATAATTTCTGCGCCGGATGCAATTAATCTATCGTTCAGTACCAATGTTGAAAGAATAATGAACATCATAAGCAAGAGGCTGTTAAGCATTACTGCTCTTTAACAACATAGCCTCAAGCTTTTAACACTGAACAACAACATCAAAGTTGGGATACGATATTGCAATCCGGGCGCTACATTCAGCCTGAAAGAGAAAGAAAAAAACATTTTTTTCTTTTCTTTCTTTCTGTTCTTATGTACAAAAATAATAATAAAAAAAAAAAAATGAAGAAATATTTTCTTATTCTTTTGTAATTTTTTTTTTTTTTTGTTTTAAACTGAGTGCCTGCCAAGGAAAATAAGATTAACTCTATATATCCAAAATATAAATCGTTCATTCTAATGGAAAGAAGTTAAATCTCTTTAGATGCTTTTAAGTTATTCAAATCCTTATGTATATCTTAAGAAACAAAGAGTAATGCCTTGAAGACGAATCATTATCCGATACACAATTGTATGAACCAATAAATCCTGTTAAAAGTAACAAATCTGAATAAAACTAAAAAATGTATGAGTCCTTATCAAGTGCTTTTAAACACTAGATGTCACTTATTGAACAGCTTTCCTCGAACATTTTATTTAAGATCATATGCCTTCTTTAGACAATCACTTTTAGTACTATCCCTACTCATTTGAAGAGATTCTTGATGCCAGTATTGATGAGATAAAAAAATAGCTCAAAATTTCATGTTTCAACAACAAAATTTTCTCAACTACTAGAAAAAACAAGTCTTTACAGAGAGATTTTACATAACTAAAAGCTTCTATATTATGTAAAATGACTTGATACTAAATTCTCTAGAGTCTTGAATATACAATAACAACAAAGTAAACGAACATAAATTCGATTAACTTATATCTCAGTCTACTCTAAAGGTGATAAAGTATATAACTTTGGTTTTTTTCTGTCTTTCTCTCTCTCTCACCCTTCAAAGAAACAGAGGATATAATAACGAGTGTACAGGTGGTATGTAACAAACTATTTCTTTTCTCCCTCATGTCCTGGAATTAAAAAGCGACCGAAAATGGTTAAAAATATTGAGGGTGTACGTATAAATGAGAAATATTTTTGATATTTCATATGTATACAACAAACATACGGGATCGACCTTTTCTTTGTATGAAGATATTACTATGGTACATCATTCCAAAACTTTTTTTTTCTCTTTCTGTAATGTGCAGTGGATGGCATTTTTTTTTTTTGTTGTACATAAAAGATATTACTCCTACCATATATAAATAAGGTTCATTTTTTCTTCTCGTTTTTCTTATGAGAATGATGATATTTATACATGTTTTCACATTCCTTTTGTTATGAATAATCCTTACACAAAGATTATTAAAAAATCAAAGGAGACTCAGTTGTGTAAAAGAAGAAAGCCATAAAATATCTTTGAAAACACACCATAAATAGTTTGTTGAACTGACGATGTTTACCTGTAAGGTTATCATCAAAAAAGAAGTTTTTGTGATCAGCAAAAAAATAAAACATGTGTTGACTTTTAGGTCATCTTATTTAACTTTTTTTTAATAATCTTCTAAATGTCACATCAGACTTAATTGATGAATCGCAGCTTAACAAAAAAATAAAATCAATAGCCTGATAAATACTTGTTAATTTTTCAATTCATTGAAATACATCTTGTAGTCTCTCTTATTCTCATTCAATAAATATCCTAAAGCAATTTTAGGATAAAAAATATACCTTTTTTTACAACAACAAAAATGCTATAAGTAGCTGATAGTAAGAGACATAATGAAACAGGAATTAGACATTAATTGCATTAGAAACTACCCAACACGCTCAAGTCTCATAATGAAAAAAAAAGAAAAAGAAACAAAACGGATCAGGAAGAGCCTCTTTTTAGTAATATAAAAGGAATAACAGGTAAGTAACATCGTCTCAAACGAAAATCTTCACTAAGAGTTTTTGTTCATCATTATGATAAAGACAAAAATTAGTGTTAAAACATTCAAAATCGATGTTTAATAATATTCAGACACCTGAATATATTTGTTCTATTACACTTAGACACTAGATGAATGCGTCTAAAGAGACTACAGTATGACATAAATTCACTATTCATTCAAATTGACCATACGATTATCTGTTCACTAATATATATTTACTTAGCAATTCTGTTTAGTTTACTGTCAGATTAAAACTTAACAAATTCTACATTTCAAAGCTCAAAGAATGACTCGAAAAATTTCATGTCTTAATGTCATCATTCAGTATACTCTCTATCCGCAAGAATTTATTTCAAACTGGTAAGTGCTAGTTTGTACAATCGAATAATCATATTTTTTTGTTGCTTACATGAGATAAAGTTCATTGTTTGTTTTATTTTTCACCCTGTTAACTACTGTACAGTTGTACACGCACACGCACGCACACACACACACACGCGTATGTTTTATTAAATATAATAGAAGACCTCAGTCGGTACAGTTGTATTATTATTATTTATTTATTTATTATATATATATATATTATATATATATATATACATATGTATATATAGATTATTTTTGATGAAAAAAAAAGAATACAAAAGAAACAAAGAAAGACGCAAAAAAATGACGCCGGAAGAAAAAAAATAGAAAATTTTGCTGATTTAAAAGAAAACGAAATATACACAAACGTGACATACTCATCACAAGAAAAAAAGAAACAGGTTCGCTTATTTTTTTTTCTTCGTTTTTCTCCTGCTG